GCGGCCCGTGCGGCGCGGCCGCCACGCCGCCCTCCGGCCCGCAGAACGGATTTAAACGGCGCCCGCGCCCACCAATCACTGCCCGCCCGGCTCGGCGCTCGCCCCGCCCCTGCCGCATGCTCGCCTTTCCATTGGTCACCGGCGTTGAATTTTAAACCCTGCCGCCCTGCCCCTTAGCAACTGCATCCCTCGGCGCCCGCCGATTGGCCGCCGCCTGGCATCGCCTCGCACTCTGATTGGGCGAGGCTCGGCCAGTGCTGGCCGGCCGCTACCGAACTGCTACTTTCAAAAGCGCCGGGGCCGGAGGTGCGGGCACAGCGCACCGGGCATGGGTGAGTGGGGAGGGGACACCCGGCATGGGTGACTGCGGGGGCTGCCCTGGCTGCGGGGGAGTGGGCAGCGCTGGGACCCCTCGTTGGTGGCAGGCGTGGGGATCCTGGAGGATGCAAGGGAATTAGGGCTTCCAAGATCCCCAGCTTCCCTGAGAACGCCGGGGGATGCAGGAGAGACGGGAACTTTGGGACTCCCGACTCCCCCAGAGAACCCTAAGGGTTGTGGAGAGTGGGGATCTCCAAGACTTCCAGCTCTCTGAGGAAGTGCAAGCCCTTGCCTCCTTCTCTGGGATGCAGGAATCTGGGAATTGCCTGTCCCCTTTACCACCTCACCCAGCAGAGTGCTTTTGCTGGTGGTCCTTGGGGTCTGTATCCCTTCCTCCCTGGAAGCACCCCTAGCCAGATTTGTCCCTCGCCTAGGCTTGTCTTGGGGCACCACCCACCTGCCATGCTCAGGAAAGAGGTCAGTCCTGCTGTGCTAACCCCCAGGAGGGACAAATCGCCCCCTGTGCTGGCCTAAGCTGGGAGGGTGTCCCTGGAGGCAGGTGGGTAGCAGCCCCCATCACATCATGCTTTGCCCCCAGCTTGCTCACAGAGACCAAGGGAGAGGATGCCATTGCCACGCAATGCCAAGATGCTGACCACCAAGCAGTCCCGAGCAGGCAAGGTAGGCCCTGCTGCAGAGAATGTCGATCCTGAGAAGGTGAGCACCGAGCCAAGCGAGGGCTGTAGGGGGGGCTCCTGTGGGGCAGCTGACCACCATCTTCTAACAGCCTCTATTGCAGGAGGAGAGCTGTCATGCCAAGAGGTCTTCATCCTCACCCCAGGGCGGGCCCAAGAAGAGATCAGCATTTGGAGACATCACCAATGTGAGTGCTTCTGTGAGTGTGGGGGCTCTGGTGCCCCCTCTGAGCTCCCCATGGTGGGGATGGCATTCCCCATGCCCATTAGAAGAGGAGAGGTCTCCCTGCAGGGCATATCTTGCTTTCCACTGTGCAGCCCCTGCATGCCCCTGTTCTGACCCAAACAGGCTCGCAAGAACCAGGTGGTGGCAGGGAAGAAGGAGGCTGTGAAGGTTGCTCCACCCAAGGCGCAGAGGGCACATAATGCCTTAGGGGTGGCCAAGAACAATGAGATCAACTTAAAAAAGTGAGTAGCTGGGGGCAGGGGTTTGCTGCAAACTTGTCCCATGGGGACAAGTAGTAGGGGCTTGTCTTGGGTGATGGAGGCTGAGCCAGATGCAAGAGGGAAGTAGTATATCTACTATAAATGGCATCAGGTTGTGGCAGGAGAGGGTTAGGTTGGATATTAGGAAAATTTTCTTCCCTAAAAGGGCTGTCTAGCCCTGGCACAGGCTGCCTAGGACAGTTGTAGAGTCACCTTCCATGGAAGGATTTAAAAGTCATGTGGATGTGGCCCTTGGGGACATGATTTAGTGGTGGGCATGGCAGTGCTGGGGGAACTGTTGTCCTCAATATCATTAAAGGTCTTTTCCAACCTAAGTGGTTCTAGGACTCTGTGGGGATATTTTAGGGGTGCTTTTGCCCCTTCCTGAAGCAGCAAGAGCCTCTGGAAGGCCCCTTTTCAGGCATGAAATTTTGTCTTCTCCCAGCAATGATTTATGCTCTTGTCCTTCCTAGGTCAATGAAGAAAACTCCCCCAACAGCTCCTGCAGAGCCCAGAGTGGATCCTGTGCCAGAGAAGCCGGTGTTTGTACAGGAACTGAAGCCCCCTGAGCAGAGGGTAGGGACCCTGGCCTGCAGCATTGCCCCAGGCCCATCACAGCACCAGCCTGTGGCTGCCACTGGTGGTACTCAGGCACCAGGCAGTGCTCTGGGCCTTGGAGAGACTTCAGCCAGGGTGATGGAAAGCTGGGGAGGGGGACAAAGTGCACCACCATCTTCCTTCAAGAATCTTCCCTGGGAAAGAATGGGGCAGGGACTGCAGGGTGATGAGGGCAGGTGGAAAAGGGGGGTGCAGAGGAGCAGCAGCCTTGCCCCAACAAGGTGACTGGCACTTACAGGGCCTCCCCCTTACTGCTGCCTCTCCATGCCAGCAGGTGCCAGCAGTGGAGGACATTGACAAGGAGCAGCTGGGTGACCCCTACGCCAATGCAGAGTACGCCAAGGAGATCTTTGAATACATGCGGGAAAGAGAGGTGGGTGATGCCTGTCCAGGGGTTGACAGCCCTGCCCAGGGAAGGAGTGACTGCAGGCAGGTCCACTGACTGCCCAGAGGCTCTGACCGCCTGGCAGAGGCCTGCACAGGGTGAGAAGGGGCTTGTGTGAAGGTGGGGATGTTTGCCCTGTCCCTGACAGCTGGCTCTTTGGCAGGAAAAATTCATGCTTCCTGACTACATGGAGAAGCAGACAGACATCAGTGGGGACATGCGTGCTATCCTTGTGGACTGGATGGTGGAGGTGCAGGTGAGAGGGCACAGCTTTCTGCAGAGCAGCCCCCATGCTGCCTTTGGCACGTGTGACCTCTGTGCTAGCAGAGGCTCCTGCAAGCATTCCCAGTGCAGAACAGATCCTCCCCCTGTGTGGGCTAGGAATGAGCCTACATCCCTCCCTCTGAGCCTGGCCCATAGGTATCCCTGGCCTCTGTGAGAGCTGAAGGGGTTGGCCAGGCCTAACTTCTGTCTGACACTCTGTTCTGACCCCCACTCTCATTCTTGAAGGAGAACTTTGAGCTGAACCATGAGACACTGTACCTGGCTGTGAAGCTAGTGGACCACTACCTGGTGGAGGTGGTGAGCATGAGGGAGAAGCTGCAGCTCATCGGCTCCACTGCTATCCTTATTGCCTCCAAATTTGAGGTGACTCTTTGTGTGCTCTCCTGGGGTGCAGGGGTAGAGGGGCTCTGCCTCTATGGTCCCTGGCGGGGGGTTTAGAGAAGGCCAGGTTACTGCCCTGAGAGCTGCCAGCGTGGCATGTCTATCATGTTCCTCCTTCCTGTCCCAAGGGCTGCAAATACAGTCATGGCAGGCTGAAACTTGTGTCCAGGTGTCACTGGAGAGCCAGCTTCTCTCTGCTTTGCACAGACCAAGATACCTTAGTTTACTTAATGGAGCTTAAGCCAAGGGCTGGAGGAGTATGGACTTAACAAAAGTCCCACAGGGTGTTAACAGTCCTTGCTGAGTCCAGCAGCACGTGGACACTTACAGGGCCTGCGGGACGGTGAGGATCTCCTGAGTGAGGCCAGGATGAGCCCCCGTTAGGGTGCTGAGCGGCTGTGCCCCTACAGGAGCGGTGCCCACCATGTGTGGATGACTTCCTCTATATCTGTGATGATGCCTACAAGCGGGAGGAGCTTATTGCTATGGAGATGAGCATCCTCAGCACCCTCAAGTTCGACATCAACATCCCCATCCCCTACCGCTTCCTGCGGCGCTTTGCCAAGGTGAGTGCCTTCGGAGGCTGGGCTGGGTGTCCCCAGGCACCCCTTCTGTTGGCTCCAGGGGACTGACTCGCATTGCCAGGGCTTCAGGCTCCCAGCTGGCAGCAACGAAACTTCATCCAGGTCCCCTCAAAAGGGTTTGGGGCATGAGGATGGGTGTGTGTGATCTCTGACCTGTGCCCCAGAGGCTGCATTCTAGATCCTAGAAAGGCTGGGAAGGGGAGCAGCATTTCTCAAAAGGCTGAGCCTTTCCCTGCCCACTGGCTGCAGTGTGCCCGTGCCACCATGGAGACACTGACGCTGGCCCGCTTCCTCTGCGAGATGACCCTGCAGGAGTATGACTACGCCCGTGAGAGCCCCTCGAAGCTCGCTGCCAGCTGCCTGCTGCTGGCACTTACCATGAAGAACCTTGGGGGCTGGGTGAGTACTATCCCTGCTGAGACACCCTGGGAGGCACCGCAGGGGGACGCAATGGACTAGTGAGTAGGATGATGCTAGGGCTATGATCAGATTTGGATGCTGGACAGGGAAGATGATGGCTGTCCTGTCATTGAGGACACAGCTTAGCCCTGCTGTCCCCTTGCAGACCCCTACACTGGAGTACTACAGTGGGTACAGTGCCCAGGACCTGCACCCCCTGGTGAAGAGGCTGAATTTCCTGCTCACATACCAGCCCCGTGACAAGCTGAATGCTGTGCGCAGCAAGTACTCACACAGGTGAGAGTCATGGGGCTCTGTCTCAGGCCTGTCCCTGCCGCTGGGAGTGACACCACCAGCATGCACCCTGGGCTTCTGTAGGGAACTGGAAGCACTGGTGGATGGGTGTCAGGGCTGTGGTTGAGCTCTAAGCCAACGTGTTCCTTCCAGGGTCTTCTTTGAGGTTGCCAAAGTCACCCCCATGGACATGCTCAAGCTCGAGGAGACGCTCACTAGCTCCTAGCCCTACTCTGTGAATAAGCCTGTAAATAATGGGGTACCCTCAAGCAGGGTGGTACCATGTACATAAGTAATAGTTATTTTAACTGAGGAAGAGGTGGGGGGGAAAAAAGTCATATGTAACTGTTAATAAAATGTGTTTGTTGTACATGCTGGCACTGGAGACTATGAGCCCCAGCACTGTACTTTCCTGTGTTGTGATGAGACAGAAGGTGAGAGCACAGTGACTGGTGGAGAGCAGGAAGCTCAGGGGTGAAGGCTGGAAAGGTATTCTCAATTCCCTCCTCCCCACCTTCCCCTTAGTAATGACACTACGCTAGCAGCAGCAATGAGTATCTTCTCTCCAAATATTTACACAGCATAAATACCCACATGGGGAAGGGGAAACTTTGCTTTGGCTCCAGCTTGAGCACACAGAGGGTGGCCCCAGCTCCTACAGTGACCCTGATGGGGTGGGACTGGTGGTCAGACCACACACCTATCAGGGCAGACCTCTGCTTCAGTGTCTCCAGCCCCATAGGCTGGGGGAGAGGCAGTGGTTCCAGGGTCACTGGGGACAGAGTTAAAGCGAGGCAAGCAGGGGGAGCTCCATACATATGGGGCAAGGGCAGGGACCTGTTCCCCTATCCAACCCCTGTTCCCTGGGGGCAGCACCCACCCAGCACCTGGACTGGGCTGCTGCTCTGCTGTCAGCCTAGGGCAGGTTGCCGAGTTCCTTAATGGCCTGAAGGATCCTCTTCATATGGCCCACTTTGGTGATCCCCAGGTCCTGCAGGAAAGAGAAAGAGGAGGTGATGCATTTGCAGGGGGCAGCTCTTGGCCCTTGCTAGTAGACAATGCCACAGGGTGGAGGATGAGGTACAGCCCAGCTCCCCATCCTCTCCCTTGCTCGAGCATAGTGCTTGCTTGAAGCCCACCTCCTGAAAGCACAACCCCATGCCTGAATGCACGTGAGGGTCAGGTGCTGCTGATACTGCTTTGAACAGGTGTATGGAGCCTTGCAAGCTGGAGGACCAAGGCCACCCTTCCTCCCCTGCTTCCCCACCCCCGTGCAGAAGCTGCACAAACTCAACTCTGCGGACCCAGATGTGGGGCCAACCTGGTACCAGGAGGGATAGGGAGAGGAGGGATGGAGGACACCATGCTCCCCAGGGCTGGGGGTCCCTCAGGAGGCACAAGGGGGTTGTACCTTAAGGTCTCTCCTCTCCAGCAGAATCAACTCTGAGCCCTGGATGTCATGCCGGACAAAAATGTCTCTGTATTCTCCTAAACCAAGCGTTTCCAGCCAAGCTGCCACCTCCTCGGAGCCCCACTTGTCTGCTAGCAGGGAAGAAAACCACAGTGGTGGACTGCTGGGGCCCATGGAGGCAGTGGGACGCAGCAGCACAGGCAGCAGTGATGGCAGCCTGTGGTCAGCAGACAGCATACGCCCTCCCACCCCTGACTGCAGCAGGGCCAGAGGCCACAACCTGCTCAGGCTGCAGAGGTCTCTCCTTGGCGTACTTACAGAGCACCTGAGCTGCTCCCCCGCAGCCAGACCCTCAGCTGCTGTCAAGGGACTTACCCAAAGGTCTGAGCTGCACCAGAGCCCCTTCCTCCCCCTAGCCAAGGAGTTATGGGGTTGGGGTGCTCTGCATGTCTGATATCAGAAAAAGCTTTAAGGGGCTCTTGGTGACAAGGGTGCCACCCCCAGGCAGCCAGGTTCCCCCTTCCTGAGGATTCTTCCCAGCATTCCCAGGACAGGAGACTGAAGGACAGGTCAGCACAGGGGGTCCTTTCTGCATGGACTGTCTCTCCCTGGCACACTGCTGCTCACTTTACCTGGGAGCACAGTGTTGGCCTTCTGCTTCTGCAGCTTGTCCTTCTCCTTCCTAGGCTTGGGGATGTTGAGGCGAAGCTTAAAGCTGCCCTTGCTGGCACCTTCCTGTGAGAAGCCACGCTTGCTGGGATGCTACAGTTCCCTGAGGCTGGGCTGTGCCAGACCCCAGTCCCTGTGCACCCACCTCCTCAGCAGGGTGGGCAATAGGGCCCAGCCAGTGGATGTCCAGCAGCCGCTGCAACTCCTGGCCCAGCACACTCAGGGGGCCCTGAAGCGCCTCCTCCTCCTGCGGCGAGTCCAGCTGTGGAAGACGGGGACCATACCCAACCCTGCTGCCATCCCCAGAGGTAGCAGCCTTGAGGGGCTTTGGGTGCTCTCCAGTCCCTAACTCACCGCCTTCCCTTCCAGGAATGCCCTGGTCTCAGCCCACAGCTCCTTGATGCTCAACACCATCTCCACAGCCATATTCCTGCTAAGAAACTGGGGCACAGAAGGGTAACCCCTTGAGTGGCAGGGCCCCATGGGGCCTGGGTAAAGGCTGCCTTACACTCCCAGTCCCTGCTCACCTCTGAGGTGCCAGCAGCTTTGTGGGAGAGGGCTTCACTCAGTGCCAGGGAGCTGGCATTGACTGCATGCGCCAGCTCCTGCTCCATGGCTTTGTGAGCCTTGGCTGCCTCATGGATCCTGCGGGTGACAGGGGCTGGAGCTGCCAGGGCTTCCCTGGGCTGGGCAGGCACTTCTGCATGGCCACAGGACAGTTCCCCCTTCCCTGTGCCCACTATATTCCCCTTCCCATAGTCTGACCTGGCAATGAGGGTCTCAGCAACCCGTGAGACCTGCTGCAAGAGGCTGCTCTCCTCCTCAGTCAGGTACTCCATGGACTGCTGGGAGCTGAGCCGTGGTCGTGTAGCTGCTCGGTAGCTCTCGCCTTTCTGCTTGTCCTCCCAAGACTTGAGGGTGCTTTCAAATGCCTGTGGGGGACAGACATGGCCCCTCTGAGATGGTCATACCTCCCCATATCCCAGCATGGTCTTGCTGAGCACCTCAATCTCACCCGGTCCCTTGTCAGCATCTGGGCTCTGTTCTTGTGCTGGATTTTGATGATGCCAGGTGGCTGGATCCAGGCTTCTCCATCCACCTGCACAGGGACACCCTCGTCGCCCCGGATGGTGATCTTCACCACACGGCACTATGGGACAGACAGCCCAGAGGTGGCATCAATAGCTGCCAAGCTGAGCAGAGCCACACTGCCTCAGGCTCCACTGCTGCCCCAAAAGCGTTCAGGCATTAGTTGTGGTCCTGCAGGGCACCTCACCACTACCTGTGCAATGCGATGGTGCTGGAGGTTGATGACCCGTGACACGGCCATCTGGATGCTGCCAAAGACTGCCACTACCTCCAGCTTCTTGTCATCGAAGGATGGAGCCCCAAAGTTCTGTAGAGGACCACTACACATGAAGACTTCCATTTTCCCCACGTGTGCCCAAGGCAGGGACACCCTAGCCCTGGGCTATCTTAGGACTGGGGAAAGGACATCACGCCACCCAACTCACATTGTCCTCCTTGGTGCCTCCCCAGAAGTTGATGCCCCCGGCATAGCTGGGGATGTTGAGGACAGCAATGCCCTGCAGGCTGGGCAGTGAGATAGGCACCCCATCACACTGCAAGAGAGGGCTAAGCCTGGGGGGCTGCTGTAATGCTGCCCCTCCCACCCTTTCCCTGTTCTCCCAGCCCTGTACCTCCAGCTGTACCCGCTGCTCCAGGTTCTTGTAGGTGCGCTGCAGGAGCTCCTTCGTGCCTAGCACCCCATACCACATCATGTTCTTGGTGCGACTGCTGTGGGACAAAGTGGAACAGATGAGGGGCTGTGGGCTCCCCACTGCCTCTCACAGGCCCCACACCCTTCCTGGGGCACTGTGCTGAGCAGTCCCAGACTGCTGGCCCCACCTGCAGTTTCCTCAATTCTTGCTACCTCCCAAAGGTGCAGCATGTTGCACCCAGATTTCAACCCTTCCATGCCAGCATGGCAATGTCCCTCTTTCCAGGTGCAGAGCAAGTAAATCCCACTGAGTCCTCCTGTCTTCACCCTTTCTGGATGTTTGCAGCCTGCTACCAAGGGATGCTCATGCCAGCAATGGGTGTAGGTACAAAATCTGCTGCAGGAAGGATCTCCAACACAGTAGGACTGAGTCACCCCTAGGGCTCCCAGCAACTTGATGTCACTGGAAAGCCTGAGGTACATGTTTTTTCCTGGAGGAAATCCAGGGGTTCCAGCCCACCTGCACTTCTTGGGATGCTCATCGCGTTTGTTGTTGAACTCCAGGGAGATCTTTGCATCCAGGCCAATGCCAAAGTAGTTATTCATGACACATTTCTCCAAGAAGTGTCTGAAATCAGCAAAGAGGGAAAGCAGGTTGAGCAGCAGCTGCACATTGGTGACTCTGGGTTGGCACCAGATGATGCAGTGTAACACCCACTGGAGCAGAGCGGCTGGCACTGGGAAGCCTGACCAAAACTAGCAGGGATGGCTGCTAGTTTCCCTCAGTCACCATGGCAGGACACCCATGGCACAGCCAGGACCTGCCTGCAGGTGGGAACACCAAGCTCAAAGCATCAGCCAGGGATCCCACACCATCCACAGGCAGGCTACCCCAGCATGGGCACTGCTTGGCCAGGGAGGGCCTTGTAGCAGGGATGCCACACTGGTGGGCAGCAGCCTTGTCAAAGGGGCAGCATGGTACCAACTCTGCTCCTGAGCAGCAAAAGTGGGCCAGGGTCTCCAGGACAGGCAGAACACCTGACTCACAGGGTGCTGGGGTCTTCAGGGAACTGGAAGCTTCCCAAGGTGTCTGGCCGGTCCAGGATGATGGAGGAAGACGCAGAGGTCACAGTCACCCGCCGGGAGCCTGGCCAGGGTGACAGGGAGGTAGCTGCTACAAGAGTTCTCACCCTGAGCCCATCCCGCAGCTCACCCCCATACCCCACAAAATGCCACATGCCCTGCTGGCATCTTACTGAGTTTCTCCTCCTCCTTTTTGAACTCCTCTGAGCTGTCCTTGCTGGGGCCCACGCTGCCCTGGTAGGCTTGGGTCTGCTTGTTCTGCTCATCCACAGCTGGATACAAAGAGGGGCATGACAGGGACTCTGTGCAGCCCTGTAGCCCCTCCTCGTGTCAGCCCTGTGGGCTCCTGCCAGGAAGGGCTCAGGGTGGGGCCACTGCTGCCATCCCAAGGATCCCGGGGGAGAACAAAGGCATGGGTGCAGCACACCAACCCAGTGTGGCTTCACAGCCCCTGCCAGGCTGCTGCAGCATCAGGGAAGCTGCCAGCTCCCATCACTCCCTCACCTTTCTCTGTCTGCTCAATGATTTGCCTCAGGGCTTTCTTCAGGCTGTTTGCCCGCAGCATGAGCTGCTCCTTGGATTTGAAGATGCGAGGCTGGGGGTTGGGGTTGAAGCTGCCAGCTTTCTCCTGGTCCTTGACATCAGCAAGGGTGGCCTGTGCCATTTCTTCAGGGACCATGATGGCCTGAGCTTCCTCATTCAGCTCCCGCACCAATGAGTCCAGCTTTTCATTCAGCATGGCGCACTGTGGGACACCTACCCCACTCAGCCCTGGACATGCTCCTGCCAGTGCTGGGTGCTTTGCTGGGCACTATGAGTGCCCAGATACCCCCAAGCACCTGGACACCCCGTGCCTGGGCACCCCAAGCATGGCACACCCCAATACATACTCAAGGGCATAGGTCTGCGGAGCAGCCCTTCCCCTGCTCGAGTGCTGTGCCACCAGCTTGACCCACCCTCCAGCTGCCCTGCAACACACCTTCCGTGCCATCAGCTCAGCCTCCTGCTTGTTCTCTGTCGCCCTCTTGTAAGCCCGCCCAACTTCAGTCACAAAGTCATTGACAGTACCACAGAGGAACCTGCCAAGGGAAGGGGCTGGAGGTCAAGAGGGGCACAGCACGGCCAGCGAGGCAGAGACGCCAGCCAGGGCACCTGCTGGGATAACCCACTGCTCCAGAGGGCCAGCGCCAGGATTATCTGCCAGGCACCAGCACAGCTGGCAGCCAGCTGGGACAGCCTGGCCAAGGGGGGTGCAGTGGTCCCGAGGACAGGCCCCAGCCTAGCAAAAGGGGCTCCTGGCACCCCCATCAACAGCCCCCTCCTTACTTTGCAGAGGAGATCACCACTGAGTGCTTGTCTGACTCCAGGATCTTGGCCAGGTGGAAGGCAACAGAGTCCGCATAATGGGAGATCTGGACCTGGGGGACACAGGTGGAGACAGCTGGACACCTGCCACCTTGCCATGTTCCCTGCTCAGGAATGGAGCTTTGCCCAGCCAGCTTTGAACTGGGAATGATCAGCCCTTATTCAGTCCACTCCCCACCAATGAGGGTAGCTATGCCCATGCTGCTGGGCAGAGGGGAGGTAAGTTACATCAGGAGGGAAACTGAGGCAAGGGGCTGAACAGGAGCACACAGAAGAGTCCAAAGCAGCTGGCCAGTGGCAGGCTAGCTCTACCTCACCTTCTGCCTGCTCCCAACTGCACATGCCAGGCTAAGACCTGCCAGGCTCATTTCATTGCATACAGCCAACTCCAACCCCCTCAGAGCCCCGGTTCCCAGGGACCCCAGAATAATCTTCCTGTGCCATCTCTCCCTGTGTGTCCCTGAATTGGGTTGAACAGGAACCTGCCCTCCAGCCTACCCTCCCCATCTCAAGCCCCCAAATGCCACCAGTTCCCACCTGGATGTTGGAGTCCCCATTTTCCTCCTCCTTCAGGGCTGAGGGGGACTGCTTGGGGGCCTCATAGGTAAGCACACTCCACCTGGCAAGCAGAGACCACAGCTGTTTGCCATCTCCTGGCCCACTAGCACAGGGACAGGCAAGGAACTGGGACAGGTTTCCCAAGAGATGCCAGGGTAGGGGGGACAGAGAGGCATGTATTCCATGCCCTGCTCACCGGTCCAGCATTTTGGTGGTGGCCCTTTCCAGCTTCTCCAGGACCTGCAGCAGCTGAGTGTCATCGTCACACAGGCTGCCCCAACCCAGGACCCGTGCAAGGTCATTACCAGTCCCCAGCGGCAGGACACCTAGCTGACACTGCAGGAAAAAAGACAGAGTGGAGGGGCTCAGAGCAGCCTCCAAGGGCACCTCTGACACCCCCAACTCTGCTGTGCCCATTGCTTGGCAGCACCTGGGGCACACAAAGTGTGCCAGTGCTGGGGACGGTGCCAGCCTTCACTAGTAATACCAGGCACTCCCAACTCACCTGCTTGTGGAGGCCAAGGGCATCAATCTCAGAGAGCACCCAACCCACGCTGCCATCCCCACCACACACCAGGATTCTGAAGGTGGAGAACTTCTGGAAGAGGCGCAGCCTGGGTGGGGGGCAAGGAAAGAGGGACTAGGTGATGTGCCAGGTGCCCACTGGGATCATAACAAGACAATTCCAGGGTGCTCAGGCTGGTGCTTACCCCAGGTGTGGGCCCCCATTCATGAGGTCAAAGACTTGGGCTGGGTTGAGGAACTGCTTGAACTTGCGCAGAAACTTGACACCCTGGTTGTCCCCACTCTTGGAGTTGACAAAAGCCAGGAGAGGGCTGGAGCAGGTCGAGGGGCAGGTGGCTTTCCAGAAACCTGCAGTAAGCCCAAACACATGAGCCTCAGCTCTCACTCCCCACACACACTTTAGGCGAGCAGAGTATGGACACTTCATCTGTGCCAAGCCCAACCTGTGGGGTGCTGGGGAAGGAGGGGCAGTGATGGGGTTGTCCGGGGAATGGTCAGGGACAGAGGGAAGAGGAAGCACTATGCTTTTAAAGAAATGAGATGGGCAAAGAAATGTGCTCAAGGCAGAGCAGGATTGACAGCTGGCCCAGAGCCCGCACCTGCCTCAGGCACATCTTGGCCACGCCAGTTCCCTGGCTGGTGTCTGCAGGCTTCTTCCCTTGGCAGACCAAGCAACGCTGCAGCAGGGACCCTATCAGCCATCGTGCCACTGGCACCAGCCCCACAGCTATTGCCCTTAGAGCCCCATGGGCTGCAATCAGGAGCCCCGTACCCCCACCACAGCAGGAGCATGGGGGCAACATCCTCAGAGCTCCCCACTCCTTGCCTGGCCACTGCTCCATCTCCACTCCCAGCCCAGCTGAGCAGAGCGGTAACACAAAGCACTGAGAGCTGCTGAGTCAGAGCGTGGGCTGCAGCGGAAAAGCTTGCTGCCAGCAGTACTCATACGCTGCAGCAGGACAGCATGGCAGAACAAGGGGGGACTGAGGCCTTGACAAGCTGTTCCTAGTCAGGTGGGCAACAGTCACAGCCACGGATGGCTGGGCTGCTGGAGAGGGACAGGGCAGAGATGCTGCCAGGGATCAGCCACCAGCAGCTGAGGCTCTGGAGCTGAGGAACAGCCGCGTGATTGTTACCCTGACAGCATCCCAATGAGTAACAAGAGGCAAATGAGCCACCGGCTGAGCTGAGTGGTGAAAAGCATCAAAGAATGAAGAAAGAAATATCCGGAGGAGAAGAACAGATTTTGCTCAGCGGAGGCCAGCTGGGCCCCTCAGGAGGAGACAGCTGGGGGGTCCCCCCACGCTCCACATGGCTTCTCCCTGCAGTGTCCCATGCCAGGGCAAAGCTGTGCTCTGCACTACCAAAAAAACAGCTGAGCTTCAGACACTGAGAAACAACCCAAGCAAGAGCTTTATCCTGCCTCGAGAGATGCTGAACCATTGAGGTGCAACAGAGGACAGCCCACCTCAGGGGTATAGGGCTGGCACTGCTGATCCCAGCACAGAGGCATCATGTCCTGAGCCACTGCAAGTGGTGACCTGGCAGGAGCAGCTAAAGCCACATGTGGGCAAGAAATGCCACCCCAAAGCCCACAGAATAGCACCAAGCCCTGAAATAGAGTGCAAGGCAACAAGCAGCCTTCAACTAAGGGAGGAGCATTGACTCTGGAGCCTACTGAAGGTGGTGCTCCTGCTGCCCCACAAAACAGGCACAGTGCAACAAGTCAAAACCTCCAGAACACCTCAGAGCTCAAAGCCCTATCCCAAACAGCCTGACCCCCCTTCCACCAGACCAGCCCTGTGCCTCCACAACTCACCATCAGAATCGATGCTGTTCAAGGCAGTTGGTGGGATGATGGACACTTTGTACTGGCCCAGGGGGCACCTCTTGCCAAGGAGCTCCTTGCAGGCACTGTGAACCTGGGAACACAGGAACACCTATATAAGCAGAGCTGGGGGACGCAGCACCAAAGTCTCAGCATGAGCTTTCCCAGAGATGCACACACAGGAGGGGCAGTGCTGTCTGTGCTGGGAAAGGGCTGGGGACAGGGATGGGTATATCCTTACAATGGCCTTGCACCAGAGACACCGCCAGTCCTGCAGCCTCCGGACACTGCCACAGGTCCGGTCGCAGACAGCACAGCGTGCACTGACGGGCAAGTTCCCCTCCAGCCACTGATGGGGCATGGCCACCTGCAGAGAAGAGCAGCTACCAATAGCATCCTGCACGCCTGAGGGAAAGATCATAGGCCACCTCTTTCCCCAAGCACCATGGAGGTGGTGCCGTGCAGCAGGGCAAGGTGGGTCTGGGACCCCTCCCATGTCCTCTCATCCCTGCCCACCTGGCTACTTGAAGCCATCAGCATGAGGCAGGGCAGACATATCCCAAGAAAATGTCTGGAGGTGGCCCCACTCGGACAGCAAAAAGGAATCCTGATACAGGGTTCCAGAGGAGGTGTCCCCAAGCTATGCCCCTGCAGAGCCAAGCCCAGAGGCCACACAGTGCAGGGGACAGCTACAATTTCTTCCTGCTTCCTGATTTGGGCACAGCAAGGCTAGTTCTGATGGAGGATCTATCCTGCCAGGATCTCCCCTGCTTACCCCATCCTCATCCTCGATGATTTCAATGCCGATGGAGGCCAGAGTCGTCCACTTGCAGTTGTTTGTGGCTCTGACAGCACAGCGCTTGTGTGCCTTGAACTTGCAGACTGCATGGGGGGGAGCAGTGAGGAGCAGAGAAGGTCCCCATGGCACACACATCCCTGGTCCCAAACCCCTCTGCATCTGGGCAGTGGGCATCACCCTGCACCACTCCTGCTCTGGCCCAGCCTTGAGAGGCTGCCCTGCCCTGATCCCAACCCCTGCCCACCTCCCAGCAGGACCCCAGCACTGACCTTCACAGGAGAGGCCATGGGAGGTGACCCCTGGGAGAGCTTCGCGGCACACATTGCAGAAGGTGGGGCGGGCGTGGGAGCAGGCATACCAGTTGTGCATGCCCGAGAAGTGCTCCATGTTGAACTGTGTGGCCTGGAGGCACAGCCCTGCCCCATCAGTGCCTGGCACCCTCAGCCAGCACTCCCTCCCTCCTGGCCCTCCAAGTCCCCCCAGCCCAACTCCTGTCCTTGTGGGGCTGTGCCAAGGGCAACAGCTCTTGTCTGGCAATCAAAGGCACACAGAGGGAAACACACTCACATAGAAATACGGATCCATACAGCACCCTGCCCACATCACCTCATGGATCTCCCACTTCTGGACAGATTTCAGGGCCGTGATCCAGTCCTCCATCTCCTTCCGGTTCTCCGCACATAAAATGAGCTTCCTGAATGGCGTGATCACCTGCAACAGCCACCATCCCCACATTCCCTCGCAAGGCCACTGCCAGGCCAGCCAGAACCCAGCCCAGACCCCAGTAATCACTGGCACACTAGTGCCACCTCAAGCAGCAGGAGGCCATGCTATGGAGTGCTCCATGGCTCTGCAGGGATGAGGGAGGTCTGTAGTGCCTCCCCACATGGCTCCAAGGTCTCCACAGGGTGCAGTTGGTAGCCCCACACCTCCCTCACCGTGAAACTGTTGTTGATGTTCTTGGTGCTGGTCTCGGCCACACTGGCATCAGACAGGTCCACCTCATCAAAGATCAGGGACTGCGAGGGAGGAACCAGAGCCCCAGTCCACCAGGCAGGGATGTCTGTCCCCTCCTGGGCTGGCAGGCTCAGGTCCCCCCCAACTGGGCATGTTGGAAGCACCCTCCAGCCTACCTTGGCATCCTTAGCATAATAAAGTGTCCTGCCTCGCAGCTTGAAGTATCGTCTCTTCCACCTCTGGAAGGAGCTCGTCTGCTTCAGCAACAGCCCCTCCTTTACGCTCTTCTGCAGAGACCACAGTGTCCTGAGCTCCCGTAGCCCCCCAGCATCACCAAAGCCACCATTTTCCCCTGTAACACCAGTCCCCAGGTCCCCAGGAGCACAGACTGGACATTCTGGGGCTCACTCTTTGCTGCATGTAGCAGGGCAAATTATGTTCCCTGCCTACCATCGCCTGGGTACTGGGCACTGCCTGTGATCTGGAAGGATGCTGCTGGGCATGGCAGTGCTAAAAGATGCAGGTCTCCAGCATTGCAAAGGCTCCACTGTTGATGCTTCCTCTCCATCCCCAGGGTAGTGCCTGGAGATCCTCACCCTGCTGCAGCTCCTTAGAAGCCAAGGGCAGAACTGGAGCCAGGAGAACTTCCTTTAAGAGGACACTAGTGTCCCAGAGATACCAACTGCATCTTCAGAGTGGCATTACCTGGGCACTGCGGCCCCAGCCAGTTTGGAGAGCAGAGCTGGAGCACAGCCGGAGTGCAGCCTTGCCCCCACAGCCCCCGGAGAGGACGACCTGGAGCTGAGGGTAGCCCACAGGAGACAGAGCATCCCCTGCAGCACAGTGCATCACTGCGACCTGGCTGCCCGTCCTCTGCCCTCCCCAAAACACAGCACCTGCCAATATTTACCCTTCTTGCAGTGGTGTTTACAAGACTCAATTAATTAGTGTTTGCAACATGGCTATGAGCCTGAAAGAGGAGGCAGAGATGCTCTGGCACTGCCTCATCTTTGATTGTATCTTCTTTAAACACTACCGGCAGCTCTGTTCAGCTGCTTCTCTGCAATTAGCTGCCACAGTGGTTGTATTCAATCCAGGCACATGATGACAAGCCACATTTAACGGCAAATTAGCACTGGGCTTGAGGGCACAGTGAGGGAAGCACGGCCCTGGGGCTCCGCACTCCTGTGCCCACCCATGTGCTGCAAGAGGTGGCAGCCAGGCACCCATCAGCCTGCAAACACACCAGCCCCAGGTCTCAGCCTTAATCTACTGCCCCCGCAGGTCTGAACCAGATGACCAAAGCACCAGCAATAGCAGAATCCTTCACAAAGAAGCTAAAACCCTGCCTGGGGTGCTCCCTGAGCCTCAACTGTCCAAATGTGTAACCCTCTTGAACCTCCCTGGGGCACCCACCACATTGTTCCCTGCTCTCTTCCAGGGAGAAGAGGGATGTTTTAAGCCTTTATCACTATCCAAGACTGGTGCAGAGTTTGGCTGCGGTCAATCAATCATCATGATGCCTTGGAATGCTGGTGCAGGTTCAAACAGCCCAGTGGTCCCCAGTGCCAGCACCCCGGGGCACATTATGTCCTTTTCCTATGGCCTCTCAGCTGTGAGAGCGCAGAGGGATCCTTCCAGTGGGGTCCACCTGGGACCTCAGATCCACACACAAATCATGCATCCTAGCAGTCCTTGTCCCACACCAGGAGGGGACAAGCCGGGGGCCTGCCATAGCCCGGTGGGATCCTGCCCCAAACACCACATCCACCACACTTGGCTGCACTGCTCAGGCACAGGTCCCGTGTTTGCTGCAGTCACTGCTGCTGTTGCAAAGGACAGGCGGTGTGTGACAGTGAGGAGTGGTGTTAGGAGCTGCGATGTGAAGGGCGGGGGGGGAGCATTAGGAGAAAAGGATGACAAGGAGAAGGAAGAAGGGGTGGCTTCATGATGGCGCCTCAGGGCTACCTCAGCAGGAGCCAGAGCCAGCTCGGCAAGGGCACTCTGCCTGGCTCCAGGGCCACGTGGGTGGCAGGATATAGCAAGGACTGGCTGCCTGAGAGGGTGGCATCCACTCCTGCAAAGGAGGGTCAGAGCCGAAACTCCCCCAGCAGCAGCTCCTGACAGCAGCAAAAAGTCACCACCCAGCTCCAAGATGTCACAGTCCTGGCCCTCCCAGGGACAGGATGCAGCTGCCCTGAAAGGCAGACTCTCCCACCTTCCCCACAACACCCAAGAGAGCTCTCCCACCTTCACCACACTTCCAATATCATGGCTGGGGGGACTGTGCCTCAGTTTTCCACCAGTGCAGACTAATCCCTAGCCATCCCAACATGGGGCGGCAAAATTGGAGCAGAGAAGCTCAGGGGGCACCTCGCCCCATGCCCACCCTTGTGGGCTGCTTTGGGCATCAAAGCCCAAGCCCTGTGTGTCGCCATGTGCAGCATTTTGCTGCACAACTCCTCAGGTAAGCAGCTGCCCATCCAGGTTCCATCATCCCTGGTGTGTGATGCCATGTGGTACGGGTTCCATTGATGCCCGCATGGGGCCAGAAAACCCCTCCCTGGGGAAAATAAGGCAGGTCCCCTTTCCAAAATAAGCCCTGGAGTCCAGCTGTCCCACACTGCCTGGGCAGGCACACAAGTCTGGGGTGCCAGAGAGCTGTTTTGGGATCTCATCTACCTCATTTTTTGACCACGGGGTCTCAGCCAGGAGCACCTGCTCCACTGTTGGGGCAGGGAGCAGCTCCCAAGTGGCTCCATGGTTTTAGACCCCTGCTTTTGGAATGAACAACAGGAGGACACCTGAGAGTCACCTGATGGCTAAGGCCAGCAGCAAGCCCAGCCACACAGTGGGAAGCCACGCTGCAGCAGCATTGCTGGGTGCACCCAGTGTTTCCTCTTTGCAAACAGAAAAGGGGTGACGATGGCAAGGGCAGACAGGCCATGCCAGGGTGGCATCACCCCTGCTGTGCTGGCTCCCCAAAGCCCTGTCCAGAGCACCAGGGTCACCACAATTGTATAGTAAGTGGCTATTAGGTACCCTAAAGCTCAAAAGAGCTAGAGCTGAGCACCTGCAGCACAGGGACTGCCTCTTCTTCCTGGAGAGTTTTGGGGACAGTGGGAGCACTGGCTCACTGGGCTGGGAGCTCTGCACCGATTACTGCACAGCTGTAAAGCACAGTGTGCCACCCACACCCCAAAACAAACCCAAGCCCCTCCACTCACCCCAGCCACAGCTTTTCTTTCTGGAAAGCCCCAGGCAGCACTGCAGGGAGCCTCAGCAAAGCCAGAGCTGGTCTCACCTCAGCAACCAATGTGGCATACCCAGAGCCACATACAACCTGCCCAGCAATCAGCCAGAGGCCAGCTTCCCTGTAGGACTCTGTCCCAGCAGTCCGCTGCCCCATCCCGAGGTCCCTCCCTGCTCTCTCCAGCCCAGAGGACTCAGCACCAGCACTGGGGGGATGCCAGAGGCACAGGAAGGGAAAGGTGAGAATGAAACATACAGCATCTGCAGACATACTACCACCTCCAGGTCAGATGCAGCTGAAATGGCAGTGGCAGTGGGGACATAGGTAAAAATGGCCCTGGGAGGATGGGCAGACACATGCTGTGCCAGGACTAGGCTGGTTTCCAAAGGCCATCATGCATCAGGCTGCCTGTGTGCTTGGCACAAGCAGGAGGCTTGAACTGCAGTCCAGGGATTCTTCCATGTCAGGCTACAACCCAAAATGCCTTCCTTCAGCCCTAAAGCAGAGACCCAGGATGCTGCTTTGTTCTGCTACCCCACTCTCCCAGCTCTGCTACCACCATTCCTGGGAAGAGCCCATTGTGCAGCCAGGTCTGACCACAGCTGGGACAGGAGGGTTTTCCTGCTGGGATCAGCTTGGACAGTGAAGGAGTACCTGGAGAAGAGCCAGGAAGGTTGTTACCCAGGAATGCCGTAAGATACAGAGAGCCACACTATCTGCCCACACAGCTGGCCACCCTATACCACTCCTGAAGGGATATACTTGTCCCTGTGACCACACGATGCTTCACCCAGTAGGAGGAGAAGAGAAAGAGGATAACTTGTCAACACACCAACCTGCATTGCACCAGCATCATTCCAGGCAGCCACCCTCCTGCTCCAAGTGCAGCAGCCCACTGGGCACAAGCCAGGGCCCAGTTGCATTAGAGGTCATCCTCCAGCTGAGCCAGCAGGCACCAGGACAGCAGAGCAAAGCTGGCAGACCTCAAACAGCCCAGCTGCAGGGTTTCCACCAGCTGCTAGGCACCCCACAGGCTGGAGTCAGTTGGAAACCTTATCAAGCTTTGTGACACAGCAGAGCTCTTCCGGGACTGGGCAGTCAGGGGGCTCGGTGCCTGACAGGTGCTATGGCCCCACAGGCTCAGCTGCTCCCAGAGGATGGAGCTTTCTGCCACTGCAGGACCAACCACAATATCCCTTCCCCGTGCTGGGTGGGAGAGTCCAGCACCAGTTCTGACAAGCCATCACATCGTGCCCACAAGACCACTGAACGGTGACAACGAACAGGAGGAGAAGAACGAGGAAAGGAGGCCCCAGAAGAAAGGCAACCCCCCTACAGCACATTATCCAGCAGCTGCTTTTTAGAAATGAGGTCATGTTTCCCTATCTACAGCCACATCGGTCCCCAGGCATCGTGCTAGCAAGCATCCCACATCAGCCCAACCTTTACTAGTTCACCCCTGCACCTTGTGCCCCAATGCTGGTGGGCACAGCCCTCCCACTCTGCCCAGCAGGGGCAGGAAAGAGCTGATGGGCAAGAACGACATTTACATAACTGAAAAAGTTAGCATGAAGAGGGTAGAGTGCTTGAGAAACCTCACAAACATCCGGCTAGTGACAGTGGGGCTATCTTCACACCCCAGGCACCAGCTTGGCGAGCCCTGATTAATGAGAGCAAGCCCAGCCTCCCTGGTCTCAGACAGTGTTTTCTTGTGTTGAGGTGCTGTTTCCTATTTTTTCACCTCTGTCCATTGGCAGACACCACCGAGAAGATCCTGGTTCCCCCTTTGCTGCACCCTCACTTTCAAAAACCAGGGACCCCTGGGTTACAGTCTCTCCTCCAGGCTGAACAGTACCAGCCCTCCCAGGTTCTCTGTATGAGAGATGCTCCAGTGTCCCACCAGAGTCAAGTGTAGAGGATACACTGCTCAGGAGCCACGGTCCACCCTCCTGCTGCAGAAGAAAGGTTTCCAAGTCTGGCTCTAGCCAGCTCTACCTTCTTTCTTCATCTTTTGGCCAGGATCTATCGCTCAGTGGGCAGCCTTCCCCACAACCTGGCTCTACAGCACTGCCTCGCCAGGCTCCTTACAGCTGCCTAACACCCCAATATGCACAGGTACAACTTGCCTCATTCGTGGGGCACCCTGAGCCTGCAGGATGCTCAATATCTGCAGCAAGGACAAGGGTACCAATAACCACACTGACCTGCCTGAGCCCCATGGGAGGATTCTGGTGGGTCCCTCAGCCCCACCAAACAACTGTGATGTATCTCAAGATCAGGAATTTGGGAACACAATTCCTCTTTCCAAACAGCAGACAAGCCATGGTTACCCCTGCCCACCATGGCCATGCACATTGTGCCCATGCCACGGGCAACCCTGGATCCCTGGCATGCACCCCGCTGTGTCCCCCTTAATGCCTCTACCTCTCAGCTCTGGTGCAATCACCCCAGGACCTGTCACTCACTGAACCAAACAGCACTGCTGGATCACTCTCTACCACCACTCTGGGGGGCAGCTGCTGGGAGAGCCCTTGCTGAGGCAGTGCTGGGGAATGAACACCCCAGCCACATGGGCAGGATGTGACCCACCACCCCCATCAACTCAAATGCGTTGGTGTGCCCCAGAACCAGCCCCTCTCTCCCCTTCACCTTCTCTCCAAGCCCAGCCCTAAGGGGACCAGTGCTGGGAAGCAGCATCACATCCCCCTCTCACTCTGCACTTGCATACCCAAACCCTGGTACAGGCAACTGGCAGCCCCCGGATGCATTTGGGGTGGGGAGGGCAGGGAATGTCATCAAGACTCCATCCATACTGGAGCCTTTCAGTCCAGCAGGGACACCTGCATCTGGCAGTTGTTTTTGTCACTGAGCACAATGACCTCGCCGCCTCCACAGCAACGCTGGTACAAAGCACCCCACAGGATGTTCACAGTTCCAGCCTGGAGGTGTGGAGTGGGGAGTATGTGATTGATGTGGAGGCTTGACAAAGGGATGTGGGGGCATGAGCACTCAGAGTGCAGAAGCACTGGGACTGGGGAGAAGGAATCAGAGGATTCAACAGATCCCAAAATTATCCTCACCTATTCCTGTCCCAGGGGCTGGACAACAGCCTGGAGTGGGAGAAGCTGCCTGCTTCCATCACCAGAGACCAAGGTCTCTCCAATCAGTGTGGATGGGGTGGGGGTCCTGACCTTTCCCAGCCTCCCAACCTGGCAGGCTCCTATACACCCTCTCAAGCACCCCACCCACCATATATGACCCAAAATAGGACGGTGAGCCCTGACTCCCACCACCTGTTGTCTCAAGAGGTGCCACCCTGGCACTGAACTCTCCCTCATAAGCTGTGTTCTCTAGGTAGCTGCTCCTGGGGTGCAGGCAATGATTCCCTCCCCCTACCTCAGCCCCACATGGGTGCCAAGGATGTCCAGACAGGGGTGTCACTCAGGAAGGTGCCTGCCATGGCACACATCCTGTGGCTGGAGTGGCAGGCAGCACATGTGCTATGTCAGGCTGTAAGCCTGACCTGGGTTGCAGCAGCAATGTCATCCAAAAATCCTGATCTCTGCAGGGAAGGAAGGAGTCCATCCAACCAGATGCCAGGCTGGCAAGTGCAGTCCTGCCCATCTGGACCAGAGCAAAGGCATCCTCAGGAAAAACACTGAACCCCAACACTGAAAACACAGATGTGGTAGGGAAGGCATACACAGCTCACTCTCAGGCCTCTCCAGCTCCAGCCCTGCCAGCTCTCACTCTTTCCCCCAGCTCCATGGGCTGTTAACCCAGACATGTCATTTCCACCTGCCCATCCATCACACCACCTGCCTCCCTTGGCACACTGGCATGACCTCCTGCATGGCTAATTGCTGATGCCAAGCAGGATGTGGGCAGCAACCACAGCAGGCAGGGAGACAGCCTTTCCCCATGTCAGCAGCAAGGCCAGAACCTGCTGGTGGTGTTGGGAGTTTTGGTGATGGGGCTGGGGCTCAGAGCATGCTCGTGTTCCTGTGCTGCTGCTGTAGGACGTGGGCATAGCCCAGCCATCTGCCCCTTCCCCTCAGACTTCCTAGCACTGATGGCTGCCTGTGATGTCCCTGTGCCCCACAGCACGGCAAGTGCTGCATGGCAAACTCTAGTGGCTACTGCTGCCCTTCCAGAAGGGTGCTGAGGGCTCATACACAGAACTAAGCATCTCCATGATCCTGCCCACTGGTCTGGCTTCCCACCATGCCTCCTCCCCAACACCCTGCACCCAGCATAGCCCTCTAGACCCACCTGGCAGCCAACTTGGAGAGGGCATAGTTGATGCCAGCCTGCTTCAAAGAAGTGAAAATTGAGGTATGTTCCTTGAGCAGCCGGAGGGACTCAGTAAGAGCCCCCTCAATGCCCCATGCCCCAGAAGTCTCATCTGCCAAGTGGAAAAACCCCACAGTGCTAGGTTGAGAGCATGCAATTTCCATACCCTTGAAAAGGTATCATCTGCCCCACCTCACGCCAGTGCACCAGGCTTGGCCCAACAGCCAAGAGAGGGCCAGCAGGAGGGGAGCCTGCCCCAGCCCCAAGCATCCCCACAGCTGCCACCAGACCCACACTGCTTCATTCCCCTTCCTCATGCCCTCAGCACCCAACACTAGAGTGCAGTTATAGCCCCCTTCTCCACAACTACATTCCTATGCTGTGTTTTCAGAACTCTCCCCTCTCCCTGGAGCAGCACAGCCACCAAATCCCCACTGAGGAGAGGCTGGCACCGGAAGCTGGCTGCAGGGGGATTTCTAGCAGCCCCTGTGTGCCGCTCAACACTGCAGGCACTGCCTTGACTCATTCCACCACCTCCTTCCCGCAGCTGAAAGGTGGATGCAAAGGACCAGCATGTCATCCAAAGCATTCTCCCAGCACTGTGTCTGCATCCTCCCTCCCCAGAATGTCCCCCCCCCCAAACCTCCTTTTCTCCCCACATCCCACCTGGCCATTTGGCTGAGGTTATTTCTGCCTGAATTGCATTTCACTGTCCTCACCTGGGACACTGTCCTGACCTGGGACCTCTGACCACACACTCCTGTTTGGCTAAAGACACCACACCCCATATTTTGTAGCTTTTTCTGAGCAAACTGTGATACACACACGCGCCCGCGCGTGCACACACACACACACACACACACACACACTCCAGCTGCTGTCATGCTAGTGGCTGGGAAGTATGAGTGTCATGTCTGACCTCACAGGTGCTCCCATCTGTCCAGCAAGCCACCACTGGGGACTAGATCTGTGGGAATGGGGCCTGCAGGGGAGCTGGCACAGCCAAATTGATCTGGGGCACTAGGAAAGATGCAGGTTCCATTTTGCCACCCACCAAGCCCTGCACACACAATACCTGCTGCAGGGTGTGGGATCCGAGGAGCCTACAGAACTGTCATGACCCTAAATCTCAGCCCCAGAGCATCTATGGAGCATCCCAAAAAGAGTCCTCTTCTTCCAGGGACAAGTAAGGGGAACCCAGGGGATATAAATGTAGCAGGAAGGCAATGTGATAGGGGCTCTCTGAGTATGGGAGAGACCCTGTTCCTGAATAGTGGGATAAAATCCGTGCTTCACAGCCCTATGGGACCAATGCTGACACTACCACTGTGGGGTTTGCATGTTTCTATGTGCCCTCTCACAGGACACAGGGGGCCAGAACTCTCCCAGCTGTGGCTGGGTCAAGTCTGCCAGCAGCAAGACCCTGGTACTGATTTACACCCTGGTAAACTCCCCTGCCTCATCCTCAGCAGTGACCCCACACCCAGCCAGCCCCTCACACACCGCAGGCATCACCCACCCCTGACCTTGCTTCTCATCTGCCCCGAGGTGGAAACCTTCCGGATGAGCTTGTGAGAACTGTCCTCCTGCTCGCCCTCGCTGTCGGACGACTCCTCACCACCAACCTCAGGTGAAATGGGTGCCAGCTTGTCCAGGTCCAGGGATGACACTGATTCCCGAGTTTTCCTCGAGAACAGGTCCCCAGGCACCAGCTTCTCGGCCATCTTCCGACCTGGCTTGGCTCAGAGCTCTGCAGCCCCCGATGACAGCCCTGAGATGACAAGGACACACAGGAATGGAGGAAAAGCCCTGAAGAGGCATGCATGGCTTCCCATCCTGGAAGGCTCTGCTAGCTGGGAGGTGCAGCCCTGGAAATCAAGGGAGATGGCGCATCCTTGCCCAGAAATGACACTCAGGGTGGCATCCTTGCAGGCAAAGTTTTCCTTCCTTGCCTTTTTTTCAGCATCCCAACTATTCCTACCTGGCATCCCAACATTGTCCCTGACTTGGGCACAGGACACCGTGGTTGCCCCCATGCTCAGGCATTGGTACATTGGTGCATAAAGGGGTGGAAGCCATTCCCGCAGCCTGTGCTATTTCTCCTTGTTGCCCACCCCCGAGGTGCTGGGCTGCCCTGCGTGGCCGGGGACAGTGCGGGGATCTCCATGAAATGCAGCACTTGGACCCCGCCATCCATCTGGCTCCGGCAACTGGGAAGGGATGGGTGAACCTCCCGCGCCCATGGGTCGCGAGCCCCGAGCAGGTGACTGCGGGTGGGCTGGGATGGACGGGGGAGCGCGGGGTTCCCGCATGCGGGGGAGGCCATGTCCCTATGGCATCCCTGCCGGCCCCGAGGGCTGAGGAGGGACTGAGGGGGCACCTACCTCGACAAGCGAGCCTGGACGGCAGCAGGGCTGCCGTGGCCGGGCCGGGGGTGGCGGGGGGCACCCCACGGCGCCGTGCCGGGCCCCACGCACCTACCACGGGCTGGCTCCGCCGCGCCCTCCCCCTTCCCCGCAACCGCGGTGCCGTCTCTCGGCGCAGCAACAAGCGTCGCGGGGAGAGGAGAGGGAGGGAGTGAGGGCAGCGCTGCGGCCCGCGCTCCCCCCCGCTCCGGGTGCATTGCCTCCTCCAGCCCCAGGGCTGCCGGGTGCCGGATCCCCGCCGAGCATCCCGCAGCACGCCCAGGAGGGAGAAGGCGGAGCGCCCCCCGCCCCGCACACACCTTGCGCGACCCGAGCCGCCGCCGCCGCCGGTGCAAGGTCGCTCCTTCTCCGGCCCCGGCCCGCCGTCCGCAGGTTCCCCCGGCCCCGCCAGGACGTGCCTCCGCAAGCGGCCCCGGCCCTGCCCCTGCCGCAAGCCCCGGCCTGCTCGGCACGGCGGGCGCTGCTGCGCGGCGCGGGCGGCCCACGCACGGCCCCGAGCATGCGGGCACAGCGGGCACCCGCGCGCCCCCGCGCGCATCCGCGTGCGGCACCCGCGCGGGCACGGGAGAGCACGTGCACGCTCGTGGGCACTGCCCGCCCACGCAGGCACGGCGGGCACACCCGGTGTGGGTGTGCTC